ATGCATGATTATTTCATGACCAGCCATGCAGGGGCCAGCAAGTACTCAACTGAGGCCATCACTTCAAAACCATCTTCCAAAAGTTCATTCAAATCTTTCGCAACTTCTGTATGGAGAGCTTCCAAAGTCTCCACTCCATCATCACCAGTGGCATACCGCTCTGCTGGATACACTGTGGAAAGGAATCTAGAGAGAAAAGGGTGCCCTGAAACTGCAAGAACTGCCACGTAGCTTGTCACCAAAACAGCTCTCTTCAAACGGCCTCTGCCTTCGTCTCCATGGTACATCAGCGGCACCACTGCGTTCAGGTTTGATGCATGCCTTTCATACACAGCATGGCCTGGGTCAACCCCACGGTAGAGTTCCCAAAAGCTTGCCAAAGCTCTTTCATGCTGTTCATCATCAATGGTGAACCCATTCATCAAGAGTGCCCCTCCAGTTTTGGCAAAGATAGACTGCAGCCAGCTGGAAAGAAGAAGGACTGGCCATGGTACCACAGTGGTCCGATTCCGAAAAAGACACGGACATCGAACGCTGCTGACAGGAACATTGAGAGACAATCCAAATCGCGTGATCAACTTGTGGAGGTTGCGGGACCAATTCCCGGGATTTTTCCAGGAGGCAATCTGCATCAAAATCGCAGAGCGACCTGAGCCACATGTCAGAAACAAGCCATCTCACCTTGGGCAGGCACCACTCTGAGCTTCCAGCGTGCAAGCGGGTGCTGTTGGAAGTGACTTGACAAACGGCATGCTGATACACATGACCGGGCGCTGTCAGCCTCGGAAGGCTTTGCTGCTGCCAGTCAATGAAATTATCCATGAATGAATGGCAACTTGACAGAATTAGGCAGTCAAGCAGCTCCTGTCTCAAAATGCTCCAGCAGCTCTTCAACTAGCTGTTGTTCCAGGTCACCTTCATCATCTACTTGCTCAGAAGCACCTGGACTGGAAGGGGTTTCCAGCACAATAGCATCACTAGAAGGCCGCTAAGACACCAACACACACACACACACCCACCCACCACCACCACCACCACCACCATACACACACACATGCATGTACCCCAACCTGCACGCCCAACTGGATGAATCTCTCCGTGAGATTCTGCAATCAGGTCGATCCCTGCGGGGGCACAGGGTGGGCAATATGACATGTTGCATGTCACTTGCTGGGCAGTGTAAAGAATGCAGGTTGCTTCCCTGACATGTCAGCATGCGTGACTCCATCCATGCATGCTCGACATCACTCAGTCCATGCATGTCTGGCATGTGGGCAATGAATTGATGCATCATGCATGGTTTATGAAAACGAAAGAACTTGTAAGACCAGGCAAGGACATGGGAAAGCATGCGTGTTTTTTTCTATCCAGTTTCCCGATCTGCACTCAGCCTACAGTCTTTGCATATGTGCTATCTCTTGTTCAAAACCAGCGAGTCTTCAGCTGTACCACGGCAACCAAACATATGGCCAAAAACCTTTCAGCCAACACTTCGCTCACTCCTTTTCAGCCTTTGCTTTCTTCTTCCTGCACAGAGTGGCATCATGGTCAGCTGGCACCTTGCATCCATGCAGTCACAAAGAAAACGCCCCGAGGGTACCTCGTCGACTTGTCCGACTGGTCATCTTCACTCTTCACTTCCTTCTTGCTCTTCTTTCGCTTCGCCTTGGACGCTTCCTTGCGAGCTCGCTTCTCCTCCTCTGTCAGAGGTGGCTTCCAAGACCTCAGTCCAGCTTGCACAAATGCAGTGGCGGGCGCATCTTTTTAGGAGCCGAATCCACGAGCTTGGCTGTTTGGGAACAACACTAAAAACATATAAGAGATTGGATGTTTCCGATTGATGCTAGAGCAGGCCTGGCCCTCGAAGACCAGTTGTTCATCATCGTGTCATTCTTGGTGATTTCTATGTACTTCTTCACCAACCCATCTTTCTCTGCCCTGCCCCAGGCATCTCACACTGCTACCCTCCGTGCCATTTGTGAAATCAACTTTGCTGGAAACCAACCCCGTCCTTTCTGGCGCTTTCACCGTCGCAGCAGCCTGCAACTCAATCAGCTCACCATTGAGCCTTTTGAGCTCTGCAAGAGGCGCTGCCATCCCAGCAGAAAGCCTAGGAGAATGCTGTGACCACGTGGACATACAAAAATCCAGATCACAGCGAGAATTGAGACAAGCACTCAGCAGCCTTTCGGTCAGTCTGCGCGTGATCATCCAAGCGGTCCTGCCAGACGCAGACAGCCCACGTGAATGGAATGGATGTGCTGAAGTCAGCAGGCACGCCTTCTGGTTCTGGGCAACATCTATCTTCTTTCCCAATAGCAAAAGAAATTGGCCCAATTGCTGGTAGGGGGAGGCAGTCTGCGACAAAGTGGGAAACGGAATGCGCTCCACTGGCCCTTTCCTCAGCTGTGGGATTTTAAGCACGCATCATGCATGACTGCATTATTTTTTGCTGGTGCCTAATGCCTGCAAACTGCGGAAGCGGCTGCACTGCTGGCCCGGTTGGAGCTGCAGGACTCACTGACTCTGGAGCCTCAGCCTCATCGATGGGATCTGCAATGCTCCCAGATCTGTCCTCCCACAGCAGCGGATTCATACAGCGGAGAAAGCAGAGGTCAGCAAAGTATTGGCAAGTCATCGACTTGTGCGCTCGCAGTCATAACCATGCTTTGCGCTTTCTCTTTCGTATCCCACCGAACTTGGTCAACATTCAGTTCCGCATACTCACCACCATTCACTTCATTCTTCTTAAGCTTTCCATTCTGAGCTGCCCATTGCCACGCTGTGGTAATCATCTGCCTCAGTGCTGTCGCGAAATTGCAGGTGAACTTGGTCTCGTGTTAAAAATCATGGGCGCCAAACAGGGTCAGCACCACATGCAGAACATAGAAGTTCATGGGCATGCGCTCAAAATGACCTTAAACATGCAGTTAAGGTCAGGACTCGTCCCATTTGTAGATCTCTCTCAGCATAGTCTTCGTCACAGGCTTGTATGTGTCCTGGTCTTTGACACTTTGGGACTGCATGCGTTGGACCACAAGATCCACTTCTTCAAAAGATCCCGTCTGGAGCAAAACCTCTTTCATCTTTTGGCCTCAGAAACAAGATTAAGAAACCAAGACCTCGCTTGATCCTTGCATGTCACACCTTCAAACACTTGAGGAAATGAAACAAGATAGGTGCAGCACGTTGGTCTTTTGACTTCCAAGCTTTCCAGAGCTCCTCCGTGTTCACAGATTTCACGTGCCGGCGAATCCTGAAAGGAATGATTGGCACAGGAAATCAAATTCTTTGCGGAAGCAACACCAAGCCAAGAAACTTGTGATCAAGCTTGTCATAGGAACCAACTTTCTTCCCTTCCCTGAACACTGACGACAGAAAGAAAACTGCAAGTCTGGGCTGTTTTGACCAATACACCATGGAAACACACGTGCAGGCCTCAGCTCATCCAAAGCTTTCTGCACATCCATTGCCATAGCATCCTCACCACCAGCACTTGCTGGCAAACTGCCAGCTGGGGCAGAACCACTGGCATTTCCAAGAGCACCAGGTGGTGGCGGAAGGGCGACGGCCAGAGCTGCAGCTTGCTCAGGGGTTGGCTCTTGGCATGCTTTCGGAGCTGGGCCTGGCGCTTTCTCTGCTTGTGGGAGAACAGCGGCTTTCACAGGGACGGGCTCTTGAGCTGGCACTTTCGGTGCTTCGGCAGCTGGAACAGCAGCATGCACGGGTGGTGGCGGCACACCTTTCACAGCTGGAACAGAACCAGGTGCGGGTGGCTTTTGATTTGCCTTTGGCAGTGGAGCAACAACAGCAGGGGGCGTCACAGGCATTGCCTTAGCAGGCACCTTCGGCACAGTGGTCTCCACTTCTCCTTTCGGAGACGCCCTGGTTTCTACTTCCTTCCCAGAAAGCATCTGAGAATGCAAAAACAAGAGTTCTCGAGACAGCTCTTCAGGTGACATTGACCCAGGAGGCCCCAAGGCTAGCATCGCCTGATGCAACGTCTGTCCTGCTGTTTCTTTCCGTGACTTGCTCGCCTGGAGAACAGCCGCTACACGGCTGGAAGCAGACCCAGCTGGAGTTGTCGTGCGGTCAGCACCTGCTTCACCATCCACCAGCAAAGGGGGAAACGGCGGTGGCCGTGGTGGCTCGGCGGCGTTGTTACTTTCAGCAGCTGCTGCAAGCAAGGGGTCCAAGGATCGAACAGGCGGTGCGGGATCTTGCTCCCGACCATGGTCAGTAGACTCATCATCAAGCTGCGTCTCAGCTCCTGCCACACACAGCATGCAGAGATTATACGATCAATCCCGTATGACCAGGATGGGGAAGAACGGTTCGAATCTCCCAATGCAAAACCAAGCGAAACCCTTTTACCCACGAAATGCAACGTGCATGAATGGTGGCGCATGCATGAGATATGCATGCATTGCGAAATCTTAGATGTGATGAAAGCAGCTATCATGCATGCATGGCACATGTGTCCTGGAGTAGACCCAACAACAGGGGCCAAAGGAGCACCAGCTGAATCATCATGAGGGCCCAGATTTGCACCATGATCACTTCTAATCGGTTCTGGCGTTGGAACCTTACATGCATGCAATATTGTTTCGTTTCATGAATGCTAACAGTCGACCATGCATGATCATGCATGGATGAGTGGATGCATGCATGCACAAGCACATGCACATATGCAAATTTCAGAAACTTCACAGCCCCCATGGCTCTGGGCATCCTGGAAGAACGATGATGGTGATGACACAGGGATTGTGGCTGCCTGCGCCGTGCATCATGCCAGTTCATGACGAAAAAGGTGCAGTTGTCGCATGCATGCCAGAGGCCTTAGGAACGCCTGTGCTTCCCAAGGACACCTGCCCACCAACTACATGGAGCTATCAAGTTCCACGCTCACAGCCAAACAATGCATGCAACTTGCCAAGAGCACATGCCTGCTGGTTCCCAGGCACACATTCTCCAGCGTGCTGAGGGGACGCAAAGTACCGGTGACCTTGGCATACCAAAATCAAAAGATGGCTGCATTCCAGCACCAGCACCAACACAAAAATGTAAGATTCATACCTGGGGCAGCTTCCGCTGCAGGGGTTTCTGCCAAGGACTCGGTGGGCTCACTGTACAGTTCCGCTTGCATCCTGCGGATGCGATCCATTTTCGCCTGCAAAAATCCAACTGCACAAAGCCCAAGACTAAGTTTTCATAAATTTTGAAAACATGCAAGCCTGTATTTCAGCATCCAAAGCTGCATCGTCTGATGCATTTGTGTCCATGCGCAGCATGGCTGCTCCACCCGCCAAAGTTTCCCGACTCATAGCCGAGGCAAGTCAGACTGCTCCACCAAAACTGCTGCATGCAGCCAAAAAATACATGATCACATTGTCTCAGCATGCAAGTGGTCATGCATGAACCTGCAACTTGAACACATGCATGGGAGACATCACTTCTGGCATCCACAAACCGAAATCAAACAGCACCAAACATAGCAAAAACACAACACCAAATTGAGCATTTTTTTTTGCGGTTGTTTGCGCTTTTTTGCGCCCGTTTCGCGCTTTTTTGCGCCCGTTTCGCGCGACCACCCGGTTCCATTTTCTATGGTTTCATCTACAGAAAGTTACGAATTTTGCAATATGAATCCTTTAAAATTAAATGTTCATCACCCTCGAACCAGTCGATTGTACTGATCCACAAGTTCAGGATCAGGGCAGGTTTCGAGGAGCTGACCCCGAAATTGTTGCATGGTGTTAACCCAGCTGTCTGGGATGCATGTCCTTGGGTGGTTGTACATATATTCAAAAACACTAACCAAGTCAGCATCTTGCCATGTGTCCAGCAATGGCATACTGCGAAACAGCTCTCTGTCGCTGAAGTTTTTATTGGCCTCGATTTTTTTCCTGGTCAGAAGCTGGACGATCAATTCAGTTGAGACTGCTTGGGGGTGGCAAATTCATCACTGAACAGGAGTCCTCAGACAGGAGGTCGGAGGCTCTACACTCTTCCAAAGGTTCAGGAGCCGTCTTCCAAACTTTGGGGGGTACACCCTCAGTGAATGCCATTGGCTGCGAATCTTGGAAAAGATATAAAGCACATCTAAGCACAATTCTAACTTGCACACGAAGGAACCCGGTTTCTTTTAATCGCGTGCCATTCCATTTCTTTCCTTGTCGACCTCACTCAGCTATATGTAAATATGAAGTGCACGATAAAGAGTAAACATGCATACTTCAAACAGCTCCAGCTTAGGAACACACGGGTGCTTTGAAACTTGGTATGTTCATTCATATATTTCCTTGTGATCGGGCCAAGATCAAGTCCACCAATGCCCTGCCAATTTGATCGGGCTTGCTGCCGCTTTGGTGTGGGGGCATCAAAGTGAAGCATCCACCACGACACCATGTAAACCTCAAAGCAGCCAGCAGCTTCCATGCAAGCATGCATGACCTTGGCCCCCTGACAGTGCATGCAAAATCACACATATGCACAAAATGCATCCAGGCACATAACATATTCTCTCTTGGAGCCACTGCCATCTAAAATGGTCAAAGAGAAACGTCTGACGCGGTTGTTCAACAATGAAGATCCCATGAACAGAAAGGATAGCGATGCAGCACAGCACCAACCTTAGGACAACCAGGAAAACATATCTCTTCACATGCATGCTGAATTTGCACCGTCATTCTCTCATGCACCCAAGTTCAAGCAGGCAACCTGCTGACTGTCAAGTTTCCCAAGACCACATTGGTCCGATTCAGAAAGCCAATGGAATTGTTTACAATTGACCTCATGGTCGTCCCCAAGTTTGGGGCCCCAAAGCTGGAACAGTCAGGGCCCATCAGCCCCAGTGCCCCGGGGGCCAGCATTAAGCAGGAGAAGAGCGCAAGCCTCAGCAACCGCGGTAAATACAAGGCAGTAAACATGAGTGCAAGCACCAAGGGCCAGACACAAATCCTGGAGCTGAGGTAAAACCCATAGCTGTTGGTTTCCCACGTTGCTCTCCGTAGATGATATCATACGAACCCACTTCGAAGCCTTTCTTCTTCCTCGACCACATGACTCATCAACAATCACCTCTTAGACACAAAAAACAGAAACTACCAAAATGAGGGCAGGGCCATTCACGTGAGGCATGTGCTCGGCCACTAAAGAGCTCCAGAAACTGGTATTCCTTCTGCTCCCACGGCAGGTCAGAGTTCCAAAGCATTAGCAACACCTCGCATTCACAAAGCCCCGTACTAGCAATCCAATGCTCCGCCAACAAAAAAACAATATCTTCCATCTGAGGTAAGATCCACTCCAATCATCACCTGAGCTCTCAAGCAGTTTGAGGCAGCATGCAGGTGAACAAGGACCTTACCCAGCCTTGGGAGCATTGCAATGCATCAAAGACATCACAGCAGACCCGCGTGCACAAAATGGCATGTTCACCGCCAAGTGCCAACTTGATCAAAAGCTGCAGCTGCGTCCCGAGCTTCTCTTCACACACATGCATGGATGAAAGTTTTCAAAGCACACCACGCCCGCATTCAGCCATGCATGTTCACAAAAAGTGCAAAGACATGGTGGGGAGTGGACCTGAAGCCATGGCATCCACTAGCCAGCTCATCTTGAGGTACCTGCCGCTTCAAATTTGGAGGCATGTAGACTTGGATCAAACTGATCAGGGTCTTCAAGCAACATGCATGGTCTAAAATTGGTCACCAAGACTTGCTGCTAGAGCACACAGGCAAAGTCAGACATTGAATCTATAACCCATCATGCAACTTTTTCTCCAAAGCTGTGGCGCTGCAGTGCGCAGTCTGCAAAGAAGATGAAGCTCTCACGGCCCTCACGGGTCTGAGGACCGCAATCCAAACAACACATGGCAGTCACAAGGCACAAGCACAACCGCATGGGCCTCAAGGAGCCTTGCACCATGCTTAGCATGTCCACTCTGCACCTTCATGAGACAGTCAAAAGAGATAAATATATGAAAAACGTTTGTCTGCAATACTGTCAAACCAACCTCGCCTCAACGCTTGGCAGGCAAGCTCTTGGCTGGGGGTGGTTTTGGTGGCCACCACGGCTTAGGTAAGACATCTGGTCTGGGAGGGGGCTTTGGGGGAATGCGAATTCCTGGTTTCACTTTGGCACTGGTGGGCCTTGCCTTCCTTTCAACTCCAGGTCTCGGGGCGAAAATGTTATCAACATCATCTGGCTCAGCTTCTCTTCTCGGGGGTGGGCCAGGTGGCGGTCTGGGACCATGAGTGAAAATTGTCATGCAGTGCTGATGGACTTTCGGGAAAGATTGCATGACTGTGGGCATGTGACCGCAATGGATCACTGGAACAGGCTTACGCCTGGCAGCCTCAGCACTTGATTCGGGCACTGCATCTTCTTGCCTGCATGCAAGGAACTAGCCCATTGACAAACTTCTTACATACATAAATGATGAATACTTAATTCAATGAAAGCCTGTCAGCCACAGGGAGTTGGAAAGTCATCGGGGTTTCACGCCCAGCTTCCTGCAACTAAATGCAAAACAGGTCATGCGTGGCCATGCGAGCTCATGCGTGGTCATGATTGGTCATGCATGCTCATGCGTGGTCATGCGTGGCCATGCATGGTCATGCGTGGACATGCATGCACATGCGTGGTTATGAGTGGTCATGCATGTTCATGCGTGGTCATGCGTGGTCATGCGTGGCCATGCGTGTGTCATGTGTGGACATGCGTGCTTATGCATGGTCATGAATGGTCATGCGTGGTCATGCATGGTCATGCGTGGCCATGCATGCTCATGCATGCTCATGCATGGTCATGCGTGCTCATGCATGATCGGATCGTGTTTGCACATGCGTGCTCATTAGTGTCGAAACAGCTAAGTGCCATCCTGCAAAGGAATCGCTCTTGCCAGCGCATGCATCACTCCAGCCATGTTGGCATCCTGCCAAAAAAATGCAGCCACAAACCAAATCGAAAATGACACAGCATGTGCACTTGTGGCTAGAGCCCTGTGTGTCCTGAGACATGGATTCGATCACATTTTCTTCAACCTAAAATCAGCACCAAGAAACTCTTTGGATACAGTGTTGCTGTACTTTTGAAAATGCCACTTCTAAGGCCACAGCCCCAATGCGTCGGAGAATGGCTTCCCAGTTTCAGGGATCATCCTAAAGGGAAACGCAAAACTGATTCACCCTACCCACACAGTCACAGGCTCATCTCTCAGATCCTGACTGGGTTCAAATGAAGAGGAGGAGCTACGCGTGCCTTCGCCGACACTTCCTGCCAGCAA